AAATTTCTTTGCAAACAATACTATTGTTTGCAAAGAAATTTATATAGTAAAAGAGAGGTTTTTTAAAGATATCTCAGTATCCACCAGGCCAATTTTGACGTTCTAACCACCATTAGATGCGTCTTGACAAGCTTTACAAAAGTCTCTTAAGCAAGAAAGGTGATTAACTTAGTATAAATAAAAAGTTTACCTTGGGCGATTGCCAGATTCGCACTATAGTAAATTTATATAGTAATCTAAGTACATTTTACTAAAATCATTCTTCAGTTGACTGGAGAATCATCAATTAAAATAGTAAAAAGTTTTATTAGTAGCATATTTTATTTTTTGTAAAAATCATGTTGTATCACAAAAATCATATGATAAATGATCTGCGTATCCTCTACTCTTAACCAAATTACTATATTATATAAATGTTGTACAAAATTACTATAGTAATTTTTGTACAACTTTTGTACAATATAGTAAATTGGTTAAAAAATTTTAAAAACTTTAAAAATTTATATTTTAACAACTATTAATCCAATTAAGCTAAGATTTTAACTGTGTATTCTGGATATGCACAGCTATATACTTGCATAGTACAAACTTGTTATATTGTATATAGCTTGTGAAAATGCTTAAAATTTGATTTTTTTAAAACAAAATTTAATTTTTTTTAAAAAATTAAAATTTATAAAAATTTATTATTTAACAAATTATTTATAAAATAATAATAAAAAATATATCAAAAAATAGCCCAAAATCTACATTATTTAATATAAAAAAAATTATAAATAAATTATTAAAATTTAAAAAATTTTATATATAGACAATATTAATTTTTAGCTTTGAACTACCAGAATAAATGAAATAATCAATAGTCTTAAATACACTGTGATTACTAGAATAGAAAGTTTTATATAAATTTTTTTTACAGCAACTTATTATAAAATTTTGATAATTTTAATAAGATTTTTCTATATATTTCTAGCCAGAGATATATAACTTATATATCTCTGGCTTTTCTAACCAATCAAAAAATGACAAAATCACATGACTACTAAGATTTATTATTGCCAATGTTAGATTGAATGACTTTACCCTGTATTGCCATACTATAGTATTATATGATCACATATAGCATCCTATCTGATAATCAAAGTTTGTTTTCATTATCTTTTCGCTTTCACTTTTTTTTAATTTTGGGTTGTTTTATGTTTTTTATTTTTCTTCATTCTTTATTAACTTCATTTTGGAGTCATTGTTATATCTTTTTTCTTGCACCAGTCATTATTAGAGTTCTAGATTATGTGATTTTACCTTCAGTAAGTATCTTAGTTTTTCAAGTGTTTTGGTTTAATTTGTTGTTTTAAGGTTTTATAGTTTTTTTCCTCCTATATTTGTTGTTTAATTTTTGGCTAATCTTTTCATAATTTAATGTATTTATTTATTGTCAAAAAACAGCAGAGGCAGATGTTAATGAAATTGAGTTGTTGGGTAAACCTTTTTTACATAGTGAAAGACAAAACAAAACAAAACCCACTTGGGCTTCTAAAAAAGTAAAGAAAAGAAAAATTTGTAAAATTTTGCTATATATAGCACCAGAGATTTTAGTTGGTCAACTGTATTGTTAAGCATTAGATATTTATAGTCTTGGAGTTATAGTGACTATGATTTCTACTAGACAAAGAGCATTTGATGGAATTCATTTAATAGTAATCTTGTTTAAAAATTATTAGTAGGTCAAGTGTTATATTAAATTAGTTATGATGTTATAGATAAAAATTTTAACAAATGACCTACTGCTTCTAAAATTATTAAAATAATCATTCACTGGTTAGATAAATAGATGATAATGAAATCAAAAAACAATTTTTGAAAGCTAATAAGAAAGTCGAAACCCTAGTGTTTCCACTAAGATCAGTATTCGAAATTACATGTAAGCTAACAAAATAGATTAGTTTATTTTTCTGAAAAACACTAAGACTAGTTGAAATAAGGTTATAGTATTCATAGAATAATACAAAGCAAGTATCAAGTTGTTTTTGTTTATTTATTTATTTTTTTTACATTATTTTTAATGAGTTTAAATATTTTTCTATATTCTTATCTTTTATTAGTTTTACACCCTTTGCAGTTTTATTAATTTTATCACCTTTTACTATTTTGTCGATTTCATCACCTTTTGTCGTTTTGTCATCTTTTGACCTTTCGTTAGTTTGTTATTTAGATTTTGTATTTCATCAAAATGGAAATTTGAAATTTCATCTAATAACTATAATTCTACAATCTAAGTATCAAGTTGTTTTTGTTTATTTATTTTTTTTATTCACATTATCTTCAATGAGTTTTAATTAGTTTTATTACTCTTTGCAGTTTTATCAGTTTCATTACCTTTTGCTGTTTCATCAGTTTCATCACCTTTTATCTGCTATTTCGTATTTCATTAGTATGAAAATTCGAAGTTTTGTCTAACAACTATAATCTTACAATCTAAGTATCAAGTTGTTTTTGTTTATTTATTTATTTTATTTATATTATTTTTAATAAGTTTTTAATTAGTTTTATTACCCTTTGTGGTTTCGTTAGTTTCATCACCCTTTGCTGTTTCATTAGTTTTATCACTTTCGTCTACTGTTTACACACAGAAATTCGAAGTTTTATCTAACAACTATAATTCTACAGTCTAAATATCAAGTTGCTTTGTTTATTTATTTTTTTTATTCACATTATTTTCAATAAATTTTAATTAGTTTTATTACCCTTTGCAGTTTCATCAGTTTCATCACCCTTCGCTGTTTCATTAGTTTTATCACCTTTCACCCACCATTTCGTGTTTCATCAGCATGGAAATTTGAAGTTTTGTCTAACAACTATAATCCTACAATCTAAGTATAAAGTTGTTTTTGTTTATTTATTTATTTTATTTATATTATTTTTAATAAGTTTTTAATTAGTTTTATTACTCTTTGCAGTTTTGTTAGTTTTATTATCCTTCACTGTTTCATCAGTTTCATTACTTTTTGCTCACCATTTCATGTTTCATCAGCATGAAAATTTAAAGTTTCATCTAACAACTATAATCCTACAATCTAACAATAGTTTTTCTCTTACTAGCTTGGGTGTGCTTGGCTGCTTGTTATAGGTGTTGTAGATGCTATGCTGGCTAGTATATCACTTAGATTATATAAAGTAATACCAAGAAAAAATAGAATGTTGGTTTATTATTGTTTATTTATTTAAATAATTAATGATAAACCAATGTCTCATTTTCCCTTGCCATTACCTATATAGATTTTATGCTAGATTTTATTTGGGGTTAAAATTGGTGTTGGTGAAAAATAAAGTTAGAATTGTTTTAATTAGAAATAGAGGTTGAATTTGGGTTTGAACTAGTAAAAAGTTGTAAATAAATATTCTATTTAGTTGTTAATAAATATATAATACAAAGATACATATCTTCAGGTATATATATTAGCTCTAAAAATTTCTTAAGTTGGTGCCTCAGCAACTTAAAGTCAAAGTATTTTTTGAAAACATAGTGTTTCATTAACAAAAAACTACTGTAAAGGTTATTTCTAGCTTTGAAAAAACCTCTATATTTGCAAAGATATTTTTAAATTTTTTTTTAGCCAATTATATAAATGTCTGCTTATGAGTCTGTAATATGAGATCAGGCTTTAAATTATACAGGCCAGTTCAATCAGGCAGTAATCTGGAAAGTAGATCACATGATCTTCGCTTATTTTAATTAGCTAATAAGCCAGAGATATATAGAAAAACTCATTTTAATACTAACCAATTCAATCTTGACTATATATAATATTATTGGAATATTATTATCAACTTGGACTATAGTACCTTCTGATATACTCTTCTAAAAAAATTTTATAGTAGAATGTAAATTAACTAGTGATATTTCCTATATAAAAAGGTTTTTAAATAAAAAGTCACTATCTATAATATCTGGATGCTAACTTGAATTTTGGTTAGAGAATATATTATATATTACAAAAAAAATTTTTTTAACAATAACTATAATAAATAGCACAATAATTTCTAGTACAAACTAATTAATCTTAATTATATTCTATAAATAAAAAAAAGTTTTAATAGAATTTTTTTATAATAGATTATAATAGAAATCTTAATAATTTCAATATATACTAACTATACCTTAATTTATACAATAATTCTAGTACAACTACCTCAACTAAATCTGCAGTTACTGGAATAGTGAATAATTTTGAAAACAGAATTTACAGCAACTTTATTATAGAAATTACAATAATTCTAAAACAAACTTAACTTAATCATATATGTGGTTATTAGAAAGCTAAGCCTTATAATGAAATTTTTTATACTAACTTATTATTGAAATTATAAAATTTCTATTCTATATAGTGTTACTAAAATATAGGTTTTTGTTTATAGTACTGTAGTTAGTGAAATAATAAATTTTAGCAATAGAATTTTTTATAGTGTTACAATGCTATAGCCTTCTTGGTATTGTTATAGCAAAGTAACAAGATCACCCAGTGTAGTGATATATTTTATAAATATACATGGGGTGGACATGAAGTGTATTCTTTTACTTTACAGCAAGAGACAAACGGTTCAAGATAATAACAATTTATAAAGATGATGATATTTATTAATAACAGGTTCACGGTAATATCTTTTACAATAAGAATAATCTAAAGAGAGAATACTACACTATACAAATATAAGAAGAGTAATAAGAGTAGTTAGGTAAAGCTAGATTCTATAAGAGGGTAGGGAGCTCTAACTTGAGCAGAAGGGCAAAAGGTTCTCTTTTTATAACTTTTCTATATATAAGAGATGTAACAGCTAAACTGTATAAGAGGCATTTAAAAGCACTGTATGGAGGCACTCAGAGGCACTTGTGTAGAAGCACTCAGAAGTACTTGTATTTAGAGGTACTCAGAGGCATTTGTATACAGAGGCACTTGGAGGCACTCATGCAGAGGCACTTGGAGACACTTGTACAGAGGCACTTGGAGGCATTCGTGTAGAGACACTTGGAGGCACTCGTGCAGAGGCACTTAAAGACACTTGTATTACCTTAGGTATAGTATTACTGTGCTGAATATAACTAGCTAATAACATTTCTATAACTAATAAATAATAATACAATAATAAGAATAATAAAAATACTAACTAATACTATGTTAATAAATATATAGTAACTAATAATATAATAATAATACAATTGTTCAAATATAAATTAACTATTCTATACTTCTGTCATACTGTATTACAACCTACTTTGTAACATTTTCCTCTCCTTAAAATTTTACTCCGTAAAATCTAAACTTGTTGGGCCTTAACTATTTGTTCACTAAGTTTTATGAGCTTATTATAATTCTCTTTATTGATGTTATTGAAATCTTTAACTTTTAGTACTTCTGTATAATAGATATGGTTATATCCTCATGCTTCAAACAAATTAAATATTTATTTGTAAATTTTGGCCTGGGTTTTTCCTATAGTAGTGATAATTTTATGCTATTTACTTAATTTGGCTCCCAGGTGGTATGCTTAGGCAAGAGTGTAAATGCGGCATTGGTTTCTTCGTTTATACAGTTTTGAAACATTATTGTACAGAGCAAGAAGTGCTACAAATTCTTTGTTGGGGTCTGATTTCTTTGGTACTGTTACAGAGAGAATCAGGTCATTCTCTTTTAGTAATAAATCAGCCTTAAATTTGGCTAAGTAGTCCTCAATAATAGGAGTACTATTTGTTGTAGCCAGAATAGTACATACATGATTTTTATTTTGGATAATTGTTACATTGCTTGGATCAACAATGATGGTTCTGGGGTATTGCAGATTGTTACATAGTTGGTGTAACTCAAATACTTGTAGACAGGTGAGTAGTCATTTTTGAGCAGTGGTTTAAGATCGTTAGAGTAAGAATTGTTAGAATTAAATTTAAAAGAAGGTAAATTTGTATCCTTTAAATATTTGTTAAAGTGAGTATTTGTGCTATAAAGTTGAAACAACTTTTCTATTTCATTTAACACATGCTTGTTCTTTGTGTTTTCAACATGCTACAATTTGTTTACACCTATTTGTTTTGTATTCCCATATATTTTATAATTGTTTCATTAAAACTTGGCAAAAATTCTTGGCCTAGCATGTATTTGGTCATTTTCTTTGTCTTTTCCTCTCTTAAAATTTGTAAGGTCCATTGAACTTCCATTTTAGTATGTCTAAAATTAGTTTCTATTTCTAATTTGTTCATCTATATCTAAATTTGTAAATCATATCATTATTGTTTGTGATTTTCTTTGTTTTGGCCATGTGATAATTTTCTTTGTCCTGGGAAAATTATTTTCATTGTTTTTAATTCTATTTATATTCATGTTTTTTGTGTATCTTGTTTCTCAAAATTTCACACATCAATTTTTTCTTCCTTGTACAGTCTTTTCTATTTTTCCTTTCTATATTTCTTTATGCTAAAAACTTTCTTGTCTAATACTCTCTTCTGCTTTTTCTTTTAGTAGTAATTTCTTGTTAAATTTCTCTTGTTTTCCTGGTTTTTTGCTTTTATTTTTCATTCAAAAAGTAAGTATACTTTTCAGGCCGTGTGCTAAACTTTGTTGGCTTTACTTCTTCAGAGCAATTGCCGGCCTTCTATGTCTGAGTAAGCTAACTGTTCTTTGTACTTAGACGATTGATTTTTCTTCTTCTTTCTTTTCTTTTTCTATACTTCCATTTTTTAAGTATATCTATCTTGGAAAAAGTATTCTTTTTCTAACTTTTTCTATATTAACTAGATACCACATATTGCTCATAGCCAATTCATTCTGTCTATAATTCAGGGGTTGCAAAACCAGGTTGCAAACCTGCAGGCTTAGGTTCAGGAGCACGATCTGATGGAGCTGGTATGGCTAAATTACCAGCACGAAATGCAGATAGCGAGGTTGCAAGAAGAGAGGAATAGGCTTTGGATACAGATGATAGATTTGAAGATAGAGATAGGGATTTAGAGTCAGAGGTTGAGGCGTTGAGATATATAGTGAAGGGTAGTTCGAGTTTTAGTTTGGTGAAGTTGGTGGTCATTTCGGTTCTTCGTTTTATTTTACTTTCTTTTTTCTCAATAAATTTTTCAGTTTTTAATTTTTAATTCTAATAAAACTATCTATCTAATGTAACTATTCTAAGTTTAATAATAAATGAAATAAATTTAATAAAATAAAAATATTCTAAGCTAATAAAAAAATTTTTAAGTCTTTTGTCTATTGAGTTTTGATAATAATTTGTAGTTCCCATCCTTGCCATTCATAATATTTTTCAAGCCTATCACTATTATAATATTGCTTGAGGATTTGATCTTTATGATTTCGTAATTTGTATACACCATTTTCAAGTTTGGTATATATTGTATAGAGTCCTTTTTTCTTTTCCTCAAATTTCACAGATTGTAAAGTAACAATATTTTTATATTGGATCCAGACTTTGTCACCAACTTCAAATTCTATTGGTGTTATTCGAGCATTATATCTTTCTTTTTGTTTCTTTTGTAATGCTTTGGTATTTTTTCTAGCTTGGTTCTGGGTTTTTTCTAATTGATCTATCAGTTCATAGGCTCAGATTAGTATACTATC